GCAATGTCAGAAGAGGAAATCGAGGTGATATTGTTATATGACCTTGAAGGTTGGACTCCAATGCAGATACACCCTTAGAGAATTCCGAGCGTATAGGGAGTAAAAGGTGAGCACACTGAGCTTTTCAAATGTACTCCCTTATTACTCACCAAATGCTCCCTCGTCGCTCGTATTGAAGTGAACACCTTGAAGTTCTTTGCCAGGCCAATAGATGGAGGTAAGGGTCTCGTTTTTCGTGCAGTACACAAAAGTTCTCTTCCCTCTTTCCCGGAAATCATCCCTTGCAGGATTGTTTAGTGCCTTGTCATATGTCTCGCCTATTCTCATTATAGGAATCAATAAAATCGGACACTTCATTTACTATCCACATATTCCAGACGGATTCATAGAGCCTAGGCCATAAAAAAAGCTCATATTCCTGATGAGAACCTTTCTGAAAGAATACGTAACTCGTTCGTGAACTCAATTCTATTTCCTCAACTTGTTGGGAGAATGAGGAAAAGAAGGACTGATATCGCGGCCACTTCATGGACCCGTAAAAGGTGGTCCATCCTCCTGACATCTACTGTAATCAGTATAGTCAGATGTACAGGGTAGTCACAATGTCTTGTTACCCCGCTCTATTTTTTTATCGTTGTGATAAAATAATGCGACCAGCAATGAAATTTATCTGTAACAATTGTTTTCAATATAATTACAGCATTAGATCAACAGTTAAACTATTTTCATACACATGACACAAGATTTAATTGGACAAAGTGTCTGTGTGAGCTCCATCCTTTCGCGTACTTCTGATAACGTCTTGTTTGTGTTAGAGCGCTCGTGAATGCAAACGCTAGCAACCATCCGCTCGTCTATGGTATAATTACTCGTATCACACATAATTGTACAGCTCAATCTGAAATCATAATTAGCATAAAATTCAACAGGGGGTAAGAAGACATTAGGTCAACGCCTGTACTGACAAAATCGAGAGCGAAAGCGGCACCAAGTAGGGTAAAAGATCCAGTGATGGGCCTGTTAATGGCCGGGTACTCAGTGATGGGCCACTTCGCAGGAAAATTCCAAAAACTAGGCATTTGTTCCTTGAACACCTCTGAAGTGTCTATGTGCTTGAATGCTGCTAGCATATGTCACAACATCGGCAGGCTTGCTATGGAAGCTTAGCTATTGGAATTTTTATGTGCTGTGACCCATCACTGGGTCTTTTACCCTATACATGAGGATTTGAGTATTTGCATGACATCCCTATCTCTTTCTGAGAGGAGCATTTTTACTCACGGGGGAGGAGAGCAATTTTACGGTGGGTAGGAATAACGCCGAAAAGAATAGTGCCGAAACGGAATAACGCCGACACAGAAAAGAAGCGACACGGTATAATATCGACACAGAATAACATCGACTGGAAATAAGTCGACACAGAACAACACCGAAGTGGAAATGCATCGACACGGAATAAGCTAGACAGTAAGTGCATCGACACGGAACAGCATCGAACGGAATTACCTGCTGTTTTAACGATGAGCCTTATTTTGGCTGTCTTGTACGCCGACACGGAATCAGTTCGACAGAAACCCTACCCGGATTTGCATCGAAAAGAAATATTCAAGACAGGAACTACGCCGACATAGATTAGCACCGACGAACTAGCATAGGTGAAGGTGGTGGCGGCGATAGTATCACGTAGATATCATGCATGCTGTGTTGGCTAGTTGACTAGCAATGCTTCATTCTATCATATGCAGAATGCGGGAAAAGTTTTTGCAAATGCACAGGCGACTCCACAAAAGTCAACATCGACAATTTATTGGGGGCACGATGCAATAGGCCTAGTTATGGAAACAAGTTCAAGTAATTGAGAGAAAGAGAGAGAGAACGGTCTGATTCCATAAAAAAAATTCCGGAAAAATCACCAATTACTTACAATCTACACTGTGGACATCTACCGTCTTGCGCAATTATAATTGAAGTACACACAGCACACATCGTGTGACCGCAAGGGATGAGGACAGAATCTCTATCACGAGTCGTGCAGATGTCACATAAGAGTGTTGCAGACCCTGGTGGCAGTGGGGTGGAGTGTTGCGTTTCCTAAACGTGACAGAAGAGATCTCGAGATTCGGATCCCCATTCTGAAGAGTGATTGCTGGCATAATTTTCTGATGGGAAGTCAGGAGATTAGGGCCTGGGAGAGGATGAGAAAGGATTCACGTGCACTCCCATTTAAGAACGCACATGCCCTCGAGAAGTGGGCATGTGTGCAGCGTAGAGGTTATGATAAGGGAATGGAAATGAGGGTGGGGTAGGTGCGGACAAAATTCGCTGGAATATTGTTAGTGAATAGTGTCACAGAAGTAGTGGGTCTGCTTGGCGCCATAGTCAAACCCTTTCTGGAAGCTGGATTTACTGGATCATCTTATCCACTGTACTTATCCGTTTCTTGATACATTGGACGATAACAATCCCTTCGTACTCCACAGGGAGCACGGAGAGGAAAAGATGCCAATCAAGACTTGTCGGGAACTCATTTCAAATATTGTTTAAAGATTTTCTCACATGATCCTCTACAGGGAGCACCACAATTCAGTCTTTCTCAGGATTAATACTTTTCTCCAAGATAATCGCAGGCGACAGGGCATTCTCATGTCAAACTTCCCATGTCACACTTGAATTAACCCATTGCTATCGGAACGAGTCTAAAGCATAGGCGAACAGCGACATGATCCCACATGCCTGATCTAATCTCAAGTCACCAGTTTCCCAAGATTTCCCCCATACATTCCCTGGGAACAATCCCACTTTCTTCGATCCGGCGGTGAAACAATCTAGAATATATATATCATTTCCTTATTGAGTTAGTGAGCATTTGCCTCATGTTTTCCATGGTTATGTAATTCTTTTGGAAGGTCTTATAAATTTGTTTTGCCAAATAAAAACAGAAGCGGCAGGAGATACCTGGAAATATTGCTCAAGTGTTACTCAAATTACTCAAATATTACGTACTATGCCATTATCAGATAATTTTCCTATAGACTTTTTTTTCGTACATTCCTTCATGGGCAGTGGCTTATTTTGGCTGAAGGGTGGGGGGGGGGGGGGGGGGGGGGAATTCCAAGATCAAAGAGACCAATGAACAGTCCGATTCCGCTTCTCTGCCAACCACACTTCCAATTTCTGCTCTGAGGTGAGAAAATTATTTCCTCCAAGGGGGCGTCAGGCTCTGTCCTATGGGCGCCAGGGGGGGCGACTGCCCCCCCTGCCCCCCTGTAAAATACGCCACTGTTCATGGGACATCCTGCATGGCAATCTGCAGAGGGAGGTATACTATTCGGCGGAGAAAGTAAGGATTATGATAGTCCTTATGAACCATCTACACCAGTGATGCACAACCCGCGGCCCGCGGAGACCTTTTTTCCGGCCCTTTGGATGCCTCCGGTCTCTAAAGATCCATATTAATGCGCGACCGATTTCGGTTCATATTCGAGGGCTTGCGGCCCTCGAACCCCTCAAACATGAGACGAAGTCTCAATTTAGCACTCTTGGGGGAAAAGGTTGTGCACCACTGATCTACACAATCACGTTATTTCCGATGATATCTGATTTTATAACGCTTCCATGGCCTTGTTTTGACTGGGAGAAATAATGTGCTCAGACGAGGCGCCCACTGAGATGATGCCTGCAGAAAAAATACTCATACTGTACTTGCAAGGTACATGAAAATGCCCTGTCGAATAATTTTTTAATCTGGGACAAAAAGGTTCCATAATATCGCAACACTTTCAACTTGAGATAATTTTATGAATGTATTAATAACTATTTTTAAAAAATGAAACCGGGATTGCGGCATTGGGGTGAAGGGGGACAATTATCAAGGCGTTCGGGTTTTGTACGGGTTTAGGAAAAAAGTCACCTGGAAATGATACTTCAAGGATTGGCAAAGGCGAAAAAGTGCTACCCTGTTACGTTCACGTCAGATTAAAGACGCATTCGTTTTTGATCAATCAAATCATGCCATATGATTTAATTTCACGCCGAAGTTTCAGAAAAAACGAATTCAACTCCGCACATTTCTTAAAAGTATATGGTGTAGTATGGCATCGACACGGAAATACGTCGACAGAAATAGACCGAAACAGACCTGCTTCGACAGAACACTTTCGGATTTATATCGACACGGAACAACATCGAAAGTAACAGCGCCGACAAGGAATTATCTCGACAGGATTTTCTCGTGTCGAGATACTTCTGTGTCGATGTTGATCCTGTCGAAGTCATTCCGTCTTTCGCCGGTGTCGAAGCAGTTCCGTGTCGATGCTATTCTTTTCGATGTTATTCCGCGACACCATGGTGGCCACTGGTTAAGTCATGATAGAACTATCGGAGTCCATAGGGGAATGCATCAGATATCTTCTTTGGAGTATGGTCACAATAAATGGTCCCTAGCAGCTTCAGAGAAACCGGATTGGGTGGGGGGGGGCAGGCATAAAATGCCAGCGCCAACTTGGCCGTGAGCATCATCCCTCCCCCCTCTGACTGGAAGGTTGAAGCTATCCTTGATTTGCGTGGAATTTGCGCTACTTTTATTTTATTTTTTTTTAAATATAAAGTTACAACGAAGGGTGATCTATTAGTTTTAGTAATTGATTTTTTTCCTATCGATGAAAGATATAAACTTAATACTGGTACATTCTTGAGGATTCTCTTTTCTAGCCTCCACACTTCCTTGAATGCAAATTAGGGACAATTAAAGTGGCCCCTTGTACTCGCTCTGAGATTCAACGCTGTTAATTTAACACTTTTAATATGTGGGTCAGCTCCTGAATTTACAAAATTTGAAGACTCCAAAAATTAAAACTACGATTCTCAATGTAATGTATAAGTAATTTACAAATTGTGAAGCACGCACTTTCTGCTCCTCAGGAGAGGCGCTTGTTGTTATCAAGCGCATTCCCTGAACATAAGAGAAACGTGGTGCCCAATGCTCAATCGAGCTACGCATTTCATGCTTCCTTTCTTCTCCACCTTACCTGCACAGCCATGCGACGTTCAAACAGGCCGATCTCGCAGCACACCCACGAGTAGAGGAGGGGATGAGCCACGATCTGCGCGGCCAAGGCGATCGAACCCGACCCCAAAGCGAGCAAAAAGAGAGGATTTTTCATATCATTTGAGGTCCACAACACCGGCCTTCCATAGACCATTAGCCCCGCAGCGACGGAGTAAAAGACGCCGCAGGAAACCAACATCCCCTGGGACCATGACCACAGAGGACGATCTCTCCCCCTGTTGAGCGCTAGTCCCCTTCGAAAGAGGCCGAGCAGGACCCTCCCGTTCCACCAAGAGTAGAGCACCGACGGCAGGGTCAAGATCAGCGTCACGATCTCTCGCATCATCCTTGCCGTCCTTCCCACGTCCAGACTCGACTCTGGCGAAGTGAACGATAATTCACTCTAAAAACGATCTGGAGCAATATTAATGAACTGATCATGCCGACAGCGATTAGTTCCTTTCCCAGCTTCTGCTTAGGGTAGCGGTGTCCTAAGTACGACCTGCGGATCGGATTCGTCACATCACTTTTTTTTAATTCAAACAAAGAAAATGCATATAGGACTGTAATCCTAAGGGTGAGCAAATAGACATGATAGTACGCTTTACACCAGTCTCTTTTTTTGTTTAAAAATATACAACTGCGAAAGTTGTTCGTAATGCACGTGATTGTATGATCAACCAGTAACGATGATCAAACTAGGACTAGAGGCTTATTTCTATCTGCCATTGGGCATTGTATATCTGGCTTTTGTAGGTCGATGCATAAACTTTGGGAGAAGCACTGTCACTTTTATTGCAAATAGTGATGGCTTTTGTCGGATTATACAGTCGGGGTAACAAACTCCTTCCTAATCACTCAATCATACTTGAGAGGAGCAATGAGGAACCCCCATTAGAATGTTGTAGGTTGGTCGGTCTTTCGACCAGGAACTCGTGCAGAAAATAAATTGCCCTTTACTGCATCATTATTGAACTTCATGGAATGCATGCACAGACTCATTTCTGGTCGACTGACCGACCAACAATATTCCGGTGGCCATTCCTCATGGTGGTTTCTCGGTAGATCACCGCACGCCTGACTGGAATGTAATGGAATGACGTAACCCTCATTGCATTATCAGACGAAAGCAACCACGATGTGTACACTGCGATAAAAACTGTTTCGTACAGTCAAAACATTTTCCTTCCTCAAACTTTGTCCTTTTCCGTAACAGAATGAATATACTTATTCATGGAAGTATAGTAGAGTGAAATTCTCCATGAAAAAGGATGCATCACTTCAATCGCTCACTAAATCGATCAGAAACATTACTAATAATGTAAAGATAATCGTGAGGTCAACTCATCCCCGCAAACTCGTAAATGCCTAACAAAGTTTGGGATTCTTCAGTTTCCAGGCACTAACATTCCCGGACAACGTAAAGAACAGGAGAAACGCTCGTTTCCAGCTCACTTGTCGCGGTCCGGAGGAGATTCACCTCAGAGAGGACAACGAGACCGGCCAAGGCCAAAGACCAGAGGAGTCCCAGGAGCCTTCCTCCTTTCCGGAGATCCGTGATTCCGGAGCAGAATGCGAGGCAGCGGATCCCCCAAGCAGAGTCCATCCTCCTCGGCATCCTATGTTCGACTGAACTGAGCTGGGAACATGGAACTTGTTTATGCTTCGATCGTTCCCATCACATCGGGTTGGCATAATGATGACCGAGTGGGCCCAGAGAATAGGTGATTTCAAAATCAAGATACCTGTTAGGAAAAATTATTCCTACCTACTGCATGGCAGATGAAGCAAACTACTGCATCGTCTTCAGAGGAGATTGCGATGGATTCTTCCAAATCTCATCCGATTTTCAATTATTAATGTACCATGTCCCATTCGTAACTTCCCTCGCATGTCAAATAAAAAATACGATCGATTCCTTGGGTTGAACACTAGGTCCACAGCCAAATCTTTTCATTCCGTGAAGATTGATACAGATGGAGGAAGGAAGTATACTGAGGAACCCAAAAGTGAAGGCCCCGGACGGCAAAGGATGGAGGTGCTGGAATCAGCTGCAAGATGCTAACTCCAGCTAAACTTCTCAGCTTGAACCACATAGACTGATAGAGAAGGGCAAGTCTGAATTCCAGGTTTACTTTTTTTTCTCCCAGTTCAAAACTGACTCGAGTTGACATCTTGACTGTCGGTCAGTCAGATTTAGACAGTCGGTGTCAACTCGAATCAGTTATTAAAGTCATTTAAGTCAGTAATAGCCCTAATCCAAATTCAGTGGGAAAAAAAGGTTCATAAACAGCAATAGAAATTACGCTGTATCCATATTCTGCAATAAAAGAAAGCAATTTAGTCCACTCACCATCAAACAGAGAAGGGACTGTCCTCCAAATGCAGTTAGCTGCAATTGCTCCCGGCAAGGGTCATGGTCCATGAGCATTTGCGATGAAGACATGCATGGATGCGAAGAATATTCTGGAGTTTTCAAAATATGCTAGTGTAATCCATACGGATTAACAAAAGAATTGAAAATATCCTAAGCATCAAAGTACAAGATGCAGCTTTCTTATATTATGCCTCACAGTGTAATTGAGTCAATTAAAGCTCTCACGATTTACGGATGCAAATAGGGAATCAACAAGTTTTCTATATTATGGATTTTATTCATTTTTGCCATTTTTTAGCATTCGGGGGAAACATCAAACAGATCTTAGTTCCTATACCGTTAATTAAACGCATCATAACCCCCAAGTTCCGCTGAGACCTTGAGAAAGATCGATCGTGAGCAAGGCCCATTATACCCCATTCCGAATCGACAGGAAACCACATGATAGTCAGCTTGAACTCGCTCTCGCAGGTATCTAGTGCGTGCACGGCGTCTGGAGACGACAACGACCACGGTCGATCTGACTCTGACAACTGCAAAGTGCGGTGTGAGCCCCGGCTCTCATTGGTCACATCCAATATCTTCGCCAGCGTGTCTTCTCTCACGTGCAGTCGTTTGGAGCAGACAAGAAAGTCCTTCCTCGCTCCGTCCAGTCTCCCTGTTTTCGTTATCGATCGTCAACGCGAAGAACATATTACAGTATTTTCCCTTCTTTCTTCTGTTTTCTTTCTTGGAACAACAAAACACGAAACGTCGACGAACATAGACTAGGTGTCCGCAAATCAGCAGCCGGTGCACGTGCGAGGCTAGTGAAATTTTGACCGAGACAGCAAAGTCGTCCACCTATCCTACGTCGTGCGCAAAACGGACCGCAGTAAAGAGCATGACGACCGAGTACGTCAGGATTGCTTCCAGCAACTGCAAAAAGAAATCACTGAGTTAGTATTCAAACGGACATATTGAAGTTCCTTTCCGCTAGATATTCACTTATCACCCAATGGTCAGAAAGCAATCACGTTCTAAAGCTCGATCTCGATAACTCATTTCTGAATCCATTCCTTGTTAGAATTGAACAAAGCTTGAAAAGACTGGTGATAGTGGGATGTTGTCGTGTTTGCGGTCGTGGCGTTGGTGGAGTGCTGGTGGGGGGGGGGGGGGTGCGGGGGAACGGGAGATCGAGGAGACATCCCTCTCTTTTCGGCCCAACGCTTACTTCCATTACATCGGAAAATTTAAATTTGTAGAAAAGATTGTTTCCGGCACGAAAAAAAAATTCACTGTGAAAAAACCACATACAGGCAAGATGGGACATCTTGCCTGTATTCGTAATGCCTTTCGTACTCGTAGAGGGAATAAGGTGAAGATAACAGACGAACCTTTCTGAAAGATTCTTTCCCCATACTGGTGAATCCGAATGCGGTGAAGTGAATCTTTCTTGCTTTGTAGAACAGGGCCAAATAATACTCCTGATGAGGAGTAATGGGGAAAATTTTCATTTGGAAGTTCCAATTAAAATCAATTTTAAGAAACACTTACTGGCTTCTCCCATTCTTGCATCTGACTGGCACAAGAGACAACAGGATCGTAGATAGATGCAATGGTTTCTTCCTTTTCCACATAGATGGCGGCACTCGACATGGTCCTCCAAAAAAGCTCATCCTGAGGGGATTAGCAAATTTGAACTTTTGGTCTCAAGGGAGCAGCGAAGACGATTACCAAATACCTGAGTGGACACCCAGGAGGCTGAGAAGTGAAAAATTGCCAAGGGAGGGAACGTGAAGAACGCGATGACGGCGCGGCAGACCACAGCCACGGAAGCAGACGACATCGACCACGTCGCCAGCTGCGCCGTTTCCTCTAGCAGGTACAAATAGAGGATGGCGAGAACTCCGTCTATCAAGAGATGGAGGGCGCACAGGGGCCCGTAGACCCGGTTCAGATCCCTGGCGAGATACTCCATCCCTTTCCTCGAGTTCAGCCATTCCAGGGGTTTCAGAGCTCCCTGTCTGACCTATCAAAGGCAAAATGAACTGGGTCCTCACTCAGAATATTAAATGGAGACCATTCGGTCATGATAGAACTATGAGTCCACATGAGAATGCACCAGAAATTCTCTGGACACGGTCAAGTTCTCACGTTAGTAGCAGCTTCAGAGAAACGGGAATGGGAGGCAGGCATAAATGCTAGTGCTAACTTGTCCGTGGGCAAGACTTAATGCTTAATTGACCCCGCAATGCTTTCTGTTTTTCCCCCCTCACCTGCACGGTCATGCGATGTTGAAACAGGGCGATCTCGCTGCACATCCACGAGTAGAGGAGGGGATGAGCCACCATTTGCGCTGCCACGACGATCGAACCCGACCCCACGGAGAGTAAAAAGAGAGAATTTTTCATATCGTTAGAGTCCCACAACTCGGGATTCCCAAAGACCAGCATCCCCGCAGTGACGATGTAAAGCACTCCACACGACACCAGCATCCCCTGGGACCAGTACCACAGAGGCCGATCTCTCCCCCTGTTGAGCGCGAGCCCCCTACGGAAGAGGCCGTACAGTTCCCTCCCGTTCCACCAAGAGTAGAGCACGGATGGCAGGGTGAGGGCCACCGTCACCACGCCCCGCATCATCCTCGCCTTCTTTCCCACGTCCAGATTCGAATCTGACAAAGCAAACGATAATTCACTCCAATCACAACCTGGAGCAATATTCATGTCCTGATCATGCAGACAGCGATTAGTTCCTTTCCCAGGTTCCTCTTAGCCTGTGACCAAAAAATGCCATGTACTAATCTCCATTTTAAGTTTCAGGAACCTCGTACACAAGATAAAAGACGATTATCACATTGCAACAAACAATGAAGGGAGCCTGGAAGGGTTTGTCTCCTTCTGGGACCTCTCCTAAACATTGATGATGAAGAGAAGATCCGACTCCAGTATTTCATGGATGATGACGTTTCTTCTTTTTCCTTTTCCTTTTCCTCTTGGGCGGGGGCTTGGTAAAGGGTAGCACCCCAAACATCATTCTGTCCCTCCTTGAGGGGGGGTCTCAATCCCAGCTTTCCCGTTCGAGGGGAAAAAGTTTTAATGTCTCTACCCAAATAGTTGTTTGAACTTCGAATCTTATGTCACCACTCCAGTTCCATCATCAATGTTCCTATCTATGTTCTTATCTCCCTGTGATATGACATTTTACCCCCCCCCCCCTTATTTTTTACATTTTCTTCACATGTACTTACCAATAAAGTATATATGAGAACCCAAACCCAGGTTTCTCTTAGAGCAGCGGTGTCCTAAGTGTGGCTTTGTACTTCCATCTGTAAGTGCTTTCTTGAATTTATGAAACAACGCCATCATTCGCGTAAAGGTACATGACGGTTTTTCCTAAATCCACCAAGTCACTATCAGATGGAAGCACAAACAGCAAAGAGACAGAGTAGTCCGCTTTACCCAGCCCCTGATATTTTTTTTTTTAAGGAAAGATACAAGGGCGAAATTTGCTCACAATGCATGTGATTGCATGTGCAATCAGGAACAATGATTCAACTGGAATAAGGGATTAATTTGCACGTGCTGTTGTGCATTGTGTACTTAGCACGTTATGCATATGTAGCTCGATGCGTTGAGAGTAGCACTGTGACTTATATTGAATTAACACACAGTGGTCGTCTTTGTCTGAAACTACAGCCGAGGATCCAAGTCTCTTTATTATCACTCGATCATACCGCGATTTGAGAGGAGCAGTGAGGAATGTTCATAAGAATGTAATAAATTGCCCTTTACTGCATCATTACTGATCTTCATAGAATGCATGCACACACTCATTTCTGGTCGACTAACCAACCAACGACATTCCGTTGGCCATTCCTCGTGGCTGCTCTGTAGGTCACAGAATGTAATGGAATGACTTAAAATCCCCATTGCATTAACGGACGAAAACAACCACAATGCGATAATAATAAAAATCAGTCATTCCACTCTAATTCATGTACCTTGTGCTCGGTCCGCATGCGAACAAAACTGTTTAGTGCAATGTGAGCATTTTCCTTCCTCAAACTGTGAACTTTTTCGCAAAATCGAAATATGGTTCATGGTAGTATATTAGAGTGAAATTCTCCCTGGTAAAAGGACACATCACTCACTAAGTCGATCAGGAACATTACTAATAATGTAAAGATAATCGTGTGGTGAACTCATCCCCGCAAACTCGTAAATGCCTACCTAATAAAGTTTGAGATTCTTCAGTTTCCAGGCACTAACATTCCCGGGCAACGTAAAGAACATAAGAACGCTCGTTTTCAGCTCACTTGTCGTGGTCCGGAAGAGATTCACCTCAGAGAGAACAGTGAGGCCGGCCAAGGACAGAGACCAGAGGAGTCCCAGGAGCTTTCCTCCCTTCCGGAGATTCGTGGTCCCGGAGCAGAGAGCAAGGCAGCGGATCCCCCAAGCAGAGTCCATCCTCTTCGGCATCCAATGCTCGACTGATCCGGGCTGGAACAGTAACATGGAGCACGGAGCTCCCTTGTACTTCGATCGTTCCCATCCGATCGGGGTGACATGACGATGACCGAATGGGGCTCGGAGTGGGGGAATAGGTGATTTCGAAATCAAGATACCTGTTAGAAAAAATTCTTCCTACCTGCTGTATGGCAGATGAAGCAAACCACTGGAGCATCTTCAGAGGAGATTGCGATGGATTCTTCATACGCACATCTGATTTTTATTTATTGATATAGCATGTCCAATTCGTAAAATCACCCACCAGTCAAATTTCAAATGAAAAAATACAATCGATTTCTTAGGTCGAACGCTAAGTGCATAGCCAAAGCTTTCAACCCAGGGAATCTGGAGACTGATGGAGGAAGGAAGTAACTGACGAACCCAAGAGCGAGGCCCCGGACGGCGAAACGATGCTGAAGAAAGTCACCTCGATCCCATGCCGCGCGATTTCCTCTAGAGCAGGTGTTTCCAAACGGTGGATTGCAACCCTCTGGACGCTAGAAAGTTCGATGCGAGTTTAAGGGAGCTTGGGAGCCACTGCTCTAGAGCAGTTGTTCCCAATCTTTTTCTATTTGCGGCACACATAAGGACCCTTAAACTTTCTACGGCACACCCAGCCATTTACTTACTTTCAATGGTAAACTTGTGCTTGCTTCGCTGAACACAGCAGTTTGATACGAGTCGTGATAGTGCAACTCTCAGTTCGTTTTCCACTGAAAGATGGCGTTCCCTCTTATTCTTACGTTTTTTTCGTTTTAGTTTTTTTTTTGTCAACTCACAAATCTCACGGCACACCTAAGCCTTACTGGCGGCACACCGTTTGGGAAATACTGCTCTAAAGGCTACAGCAGCGACACGTCGGACGGCCACTACTTGTCGATTAGGGACTGGGGACGTGTGAAGATGAACTGGCAGGAGACGCCGATAGAATGCCGTACATATACGAGATCAACAGAAGAAAATGCAGAATGTAATCATCGTTGTGGATTCTTCCGTATATCCTTTCTTCCAGGCTGGAAGTTCCACATCACGTCCTGTTCGCAGACGAAATGTCACCATGAAGATCTACATGCGTAAAACAAATACAGCGAGAACGAACTCGACATAAAAAAAAGGACTTCATTGATTAGAACAAAAGGAGTACCACTTGACACTTGACAAAGGTCATGTTCATGTAAGTGCAAGCACATAACCATTTGCATAATAACTGCAATTAAATACTAAGTTTCCGAAAATAAAGGAATACACTCTGGGCACCAGGAATGACAAAGAGCTTTCTTACGTCATGCCTTACAGGGTAGAAATGTCAATCAGGGATCTCACTATCCACGGATCCATACAGGGAAGAAGATATAAGTCCAAGTTTCATATGAGAGCCTCAGTAGGATGCAAGTGCACCACTAATTCCTACTAAAGAATCTTTTTTAAATTCACTCCAGCTCTCTATCTAGGTCAGCAGCAGTGCTGTAGAATAAAGAACATAAAATATAAAAAAAGGGGTTGTATCATCAGGAACTTATCCCTCCCTGGTCACAGTTCTCACTAAACAAGTTTTAGGGTAACTTGTGATGGTCGACATCGCCTACCACTAAGGTGGAAGGGTGGTTAAAGCATTCCTCATATGAAAGCATGACAGCTAAACTTCTTTCTTAATCCAGGCGGCAACATAAGTTTCTTGTACATTTGACTTTCAAATCACACCCATAGTGCTACTTCATAAAATATAAGGACAATAGAGCTCCATAATTCATCTGCTCCTTCTTTCACCCAATGTCTTCAAGTGACACTTCCCTAGCTGTCCTCCCATCAACTCTACATCATCCACATACCTCCTCTTACACTTGGTAACATGGGAAATCTCACCTTCTCTAACAGGCAACTCAAGTTTCCTGATATAAAGTGCCTGCATTTTGACTACCTCCAGAACATTTTCTTGCACCATGATCAATATTACAATTATCAAGCCCCTCGGCAGAACACTCAACTTTTTCCAAGTAAGGTCGTTTTGGCTATAAACCTAGTTCTACCTTACCCTACTCCTATCTGCTCTTCACTCTTCAAGGGAGGATCACTATGTCTTTAAATGAGGCAATGGCTACAACCTACATACATGGTACACAAAAGTATACCATCACCTACTTTAGCAAATGCTCTCTAACAGTCTTGGGTATTCTATTTGAAAGCTAGAGACCCCTCAATAAAACAGCAATCACCTCTGACATGCATTTCTGAACTACAGAGCTGTGTGGATGACACCACCATCCAAAAGCAAATAGCCATCAGTCATGCTTCAGAGCATAATAACTCATGTATACTGACTATGCTCAGAATGCATGGACAGAAGCAAACTACAAGGTACATTCTATTCAACTTAGTCAAAAATTCCAGCTGAAAACCCCATTAGGAATGTGGTTCCACAATTCCAGTTGGTATCATGATGGTTTCCAAAGTGTTAATTATTAGATGGTTATTGTATGGTCCTGAAGGTTCCAGATGGTTCGATAGCATTCAAATGGTCATTGAAACTATTCTTAAAATTGTTACAGATGGATAACATCTATATGTTACTTAGCATATAGTTATCTGTAAATTTTCAGCCTGGTTCCATCCTTGGTTTAGGATTTTTGCATGGTTCCTTCCAGATGAAGGATGGGAATTGGATTATACCTCATACTTACTTGATATCCACTTCATGAGAAAATTACACACCAATTGCAATATAGTAGAGTATTTTCAGACATGAATCACAGATTGTTCATTTTATAGACATTGAGTATACCCCATTTTAATTAGCAATGAAATTGAAAACAAGGTAATGTCCTGGAGACTAAAGACAGAAAAATGGTCCCAAAATGGTGAAGTGAATCTATAACTCAAACAATCCTATTGGCATTGTGTGGATCTGCTTGTCTTTTATAAGCTACTCTGAGATCTTGAATTTTACTTGAAACCATACACATCATGCATGGTGCCAATTTTCAAGATTTACAGCCTTAACACTAATATGTATTACCTTCAGCTGTCGGAAATAGGCTATGAAGACAAAGAAGAGCTTCCATTTTTTAAATCCTGAACTTCATCAACAGCAATTTCATCACAGCTGTCTCAAGTTAAATTCTTGAACAATAGCATTTGAATGATCATATCATGCCTTCATACCTATGACATAGTCCCAGTGGAGCATGCTGCCAGGTCACCATTTCAACCAATCATCCACACAGATTTCCATTATTAGAAATATCAACATGCATTGTCTCTGCCTCTCCTTTCTTCCAATTTAATGTTTTGGTGGGATAGATTCTGGAGGCAGGTGAAATGAAAAAAACTCTAAAGACTTGAAACATCCTCATTGCAGGGGCACTTTGATTACTTGACAGATAATGGTGATTGCTAGGTGACATTCCAAACTAATAGGTCCCAGTAAAAGCTGTCACTTGAAAGCATTAGCAGTTCCTATCCACTGTTCTGGTGCCACTTCAACATGGAGGATTCCAGTGCTAGAGTAGCAGGAAGGGACATAATGAATGTGTCCCAGCCAACATAGGTTGCAGTTTGGGAGGTGCAGGATGCATCCTTGGCAACATTGGTCAAATACTTCAACTTTCAGTTCAACTTCCCTGGTGATCCATACTTTGGCTCCATAGAGACCAAATGTATACAAAAGTTATACCACCAAAGCATCAGTTAAAAGTCAGCTTTTCATTTTTGTTATTGCTCTGAGGAAAAAGTAGTATGGATCCTGCATAGTTTCCAATTTAGCTGGTGATATCTTTTCCAAAGTAGGTGAAGAGGCTTGATGGTAGCGATGTTTCATCAAATAGCATGACAGGAGATCCAGACAGGACATCAGGATAGTGATATAGATAAGATATTTCTGTTGTGATAAGGAGGATCCAAAGGCTAATCAAAGTACCATATCTCTGACATGCTTGCATGGAGAGTTGCACATAGCTGTGAAGAAAAGTGAAGCCAACTACATACGTGGACTACAAGGCATGCAATAGATGATGGTGAAATGGTGAATTTGCATGGTCTCGTGGCCAAATGTGAAACTGGCTAGGTGAGGGAGGGCTTCCTTAATACCCCGTGGAAACTGACACATTCTAAATAACATAGAGAAATTTGTGTTCTGTCCTAGCAGCCAAAAGGGGGGGGGTTAAAATGATGTAGGGATCTCAAGTCTCACCAGCCCAATGAGGCAGTTTTGAGTATAGGGAGTATAAGTATTTGCAGAAAATTTTAAATTCTAGTCTAGGTTCTGATTGAGAAATTCATTCCCTTTGCTGATTGAGGGGATGTAACCCATTGGTTTAGTAAGGGATGCACTCTTTCAACATGCCTTCTTGTCCAGTCTCACATCAAGGAAGCAGTGCAGAGCAATCAGTGAATGAGTAAATAAATGCATGCAGGCAGTGATCATCCACCATCCAAGCTAGACTTGTCATTGCATATAGCCCATTAGTAATTTAGTTACAATGTTTTATGACTAAAACCCTGCAATAATAGCTGGTGTGGGTACAATGCACAGTGCATACCAATAAGAGAATTATTCTATAAGTTTCCCTATGTGTCCTTGAGGCATTTCATTAATGCCTATTCAGATAATTATTTTATTGACTGTATTGAAAAATGTTCATCATAAAGCAACTTATGCCAACTAAACTGGTAAGCAGTCCAACAGGAATTTCAATGGGATCACCAAATCACTCTTAAGCACAGCATACTTTTAACAGGAGAAACCTCTTTTTTTCGAATGAGTATCATTACCTGGACATTTCCACCCATCAAAAGAGTGCTCAGTTAAGGTGTACTCTACCCAGATGAGGACAGCCAAGGCTTAAACAAGAAATTGATTCATTGACTTTCATATGGACAGCCACCCAGTCACATTCTGGAATGAGGACATATAAGTTTGACTTACAAGGTCACAAGACATACAAGGACAATACCAAAACTGTGTAGTGTGCTTAGTCTTATTTTTAACAGGGGACTTTCTGTGAAAAAAAGCAAATCCTTTGAGTTCCAGTTTCCCTGAAATCAAACACAGTAACAACAGTTTCCATTTCAGTCCCTTTGGTGAAGAATCCTTCTATCAGTTACCTCATCAAGTCAATTCTCCCTGTAACCTACACCTATAACAGCTTCTCTCAAAATTGCTATTCCCTTGGAATATACTTTTTTCTTATATTTTGGCATCATGACAGGCTAGGTCATGCTCTTGCTTTCCCATGAGTATTTTTTCCCCAGGAAAGCATTTCAGTAACCACATGGATACAGTGAAGACCCTACACTCCCTTGTCTTGATCCATTATCAACATATAATAAAAGCCATCTTCCTGAAGCTGGATAGATTGATATTCAATATTATTTTTAGAATTTCAACAAGGAAAGGGCTCATATTGGAATAGGACTGGTTCCACATCAGCACAGTTTGTAGTCACATTCAGACCAATTGAAAGACCAAGCATAATATATATTCTACCTGTCATGATTCCTGATAATACATGTACTAACTGCCACTTCCAGTAGCAAAAATGGTCTATATTTGAGTCCTGCTAGAAGCAGGTACTCCAGCTTGAAATCAAAAGCACAGATATATAGCTCGTTTAAAATTAATTTGCTCATTCCAGCTACCTGAACATGCCCTATGACCCAAACTACTCTCTTCAACTTAGCAACTCAACCTTCATTTACGATCCTGGGGTTGATAGTTGATATCTGATGTGATGACATCAACCATCTTGGCCATGCATATTCAACCTTTATGCCTTGTCAAGGGCCTACTTAACCCTTACATCCACAAAATAAAAGTGTCTTAGTAAGCTATGGAACTGCCTAATGCTACAGCTATAATGGCTGGAGTGCTACAGGTACTCAATCAAGCTGAAACTCCTCAAGACCAAACGAAGAGCTGCTTCTAGCCACCGCCTCTGAGGCGCTCGAAACTAGCTATGCCAGATCCTATACGAAAATGCAAAGATATCAAAGGTGAACCATGCCTCACCTCATTCTTCCTGCACCGTATTGCTGTCGTTAGTCCGACGAAATACCGCTGTAGTTGCCCCAGGGTAAGCTAGTTTCCAACACCGACACCCCCCCTCAACTTAAGATACATCATGAGCGTGTTTCTTCTCTACCTCCAGTAGCTCTCTAGAAGACAACACGAATTAACATTTTTCTCTTAGCTGCTCTTCCGATTCGAATGCGCATGCGCCTTGTCTTCTGGAGCGCTGCGGGAGAAGTCAAAGAAATACCCCCTATGTTGAAAGACTATGACGGGCTCTGCAGCAGCATCTGCCAAACGTCACAAAAAGCTACTCATTCTGTCAGTACGTCGTCCTAGTTTGTAGGAGAAAATGTGGACTCACGTTGAAGCCTTTCATCAAGCTTCCCCACGTCAAGCCAAATTCACAAACCAAAAACACACCGAGCGGACGGAGGTACGCGGAGACGGGAGTGTCCAGCATGGCACCACCATGATAGCGAGAGAAGAGGTGCCATTTCGATCTCCATTAGCAACTACACCTTGCCGATTTCTGTTTGCAATTCGGCGAGGGTCTGTGAACGGTGAAGATGAGGCACGTTGACGGAAAATATGAATTACGTTTCTGTGCTTAAATATTTCCTTACGATTTCAATATTTTCCGAACAGAGAATGTTTTTGTCTTTTCTGGGGAAGGGAGAAAGTTTTCTCCCAGAAAGAAAGCATGGAAACTACCTCCATTTTGTGTTTCAATTTCTTCAGAAGCAGACATGCTACGTACCCGTAGTTCAGTAACCATATGTCGTCTGTGTGATTCTTTTGTTTGCTTGCCGCCAGTTTCTGCACGTTGTGGGAAAGAGCATTTCCTGCTTTCTTCTCCTTTTCTGAAAGGGACGGAAATGACAAGAAGTCCTCTTGTCATTTCACTATCTTCCAAGGCAATGTTCTCCAGCAGAACTCATTTGACGCTGCTTTCTTGGGCTGAGGTCGGGTCTCTGGCCCTTTCAAAGAACCTGGCTGATTCCGTGAGTAACGGAAGCAACTCTTACAATGGACCAGCTTCCGCAGACAGCGAGCACATTCACACGCCGAACAATCAATACAAAGTTACTTACCCTCGTAAACAAAATGCTGCAGGATAGCGTGAAATGCTCGTTAACTGTGATGAGTGATATACGCTTGGGTCACTTCGCGTGTAGCGAGGTTGCTCTCGTCGTTGCAAGTGTGGTGCTCGGTGTCGGTTCAAGACACCACTGTCATTAAAGATGAGGCTCATCTCAGGATTTCATTCAATATCCAGGAAAGGAACACGCAAATTGTGAAAACGTTTATTATTATTTTGACCACCATAACGGCGCAGTAGTGGGAAACGGAACTGAACAGAACCGGTACATGCACCGTCGACGTCGCCTCTCGGCCGGGCGATCGGCTCCTCCTCCTTAAAGCCGAGATACGCTCGCTAGCGGGTTCTCGAAGGCCTGAAGGAGCAGGAACCGTGACGGTGGTGGAGGTATTCTCGATAAACAAGGATGGCAAAGGTCTGTTACCGAGCCATTACTACTTGCGAGCAATAGTTCAGAAAGTTGTTGGTTGTCCAGGATTGATGCATTGAAGAGAGGGAATGTGAATGAAAAAACAATGACATTTCTGATCCTGACATGCACAAATGATCTCACTTCTTACGTCTAGAAGGCCTTCCGAACTAGGGGGAAAATGTAGAAAAGGACCATAGGGGACCTTAGGGGTCATCCAGGCAACCGGTAAAAGAGAAATAGCTCATTCACCGATTCCCATTCCAGGGGCTTATTCGGCGAAACTTAAGAAGTTTTCTTGCAAGACTTGGAAATAAAGCTCTTCAAAAATTATGAAAATAGTATTTTGATTGAGAGGCTACCAAGCAAATCTTTAACATGAACTTATGACCGAACAGCAGCGTGGCCAATAACAATGAAAATAGGTTATCTGAAATTTGCTTTTTTTTTCTGGGAAAAAGCGACGTTTTTTCATCACTTACGGTAAATGCATATTTAGAGAAGCTACATTAATCCTGCATCAAAGACTTCGAATAAAAATTATCGATCGGTCGTATTATATCTTTTTATTACTGCTTGTTTCATGAGAACCGTCAGGGCTCCACGACATAAATCATCTGCAAATATGAAACAGGAAGAAGCGAAAACCTCGGCACCCGAAGAATGCACTGACCATACTCACGAAGGACAACTTCCATTTTTTTCCCCCAACAGGATGAGGATTGTCCAGTGGGAGCGTTTCGGGGAATCCCCAGCACATCCCGGAGAACGAGGAATCTGCGCCGTGTTCCCACTCGTCCTAACACGGGATTCCTCTCTGGACGCCGTGATGAATAAAAAAAAACGGGGCAAGCGGATGTTCCGCGAGCGCCGTGTCCGGTTCACGATCGCCCTCCGCCTTTAAATGCAGGGACGAAGGGCATGTCCCTTCATAACGAGCAGTGCCTTCCTGCCATCCAGTCCTCTCGGGTGCCGCTGAGACTCGGCTGGGATCGACATGAAGTGGTTGTCCTTCGCCTTCCTGGTGAGGTTCTTCAATTTATCCGTCTTTATTCATTTTCTTCTAAAGCTTTGAATGCATCGAGTTGGATTTATTCTGTTCGGATGTGGGTAGAGGCGATAGTTATCGACTGTTCCATTTAATCATTTTGAAGTGCTGCGGTAAAACTAATCGCGACGCGACTCGATATTTGGGCAGAAAACGACAGGAATGTTTCATGAGCAAAACCATCGATAGAAGATGCAACAATAACACATATTGTATCGTCTTTTGCATAAGGCGGTATCCTTCGCATGTTCCTGCGTACGGCAGAGAAATCCCGGCCTACTTTTTCGCACAATCGTCTGACGCTATTCACTTTTCAAGAACTGAGTCGTTCTATCGTTAATTATTTTCTCAAATTTTAACCTCCGGTGGAAATTTCAACAGATCGTAGTTTCCCTTTATCCCTCCTCGAACGCGTCATATCCTTCAATTTCACCGAGACCTTGAGAGTGCTTCGATCGTGCGCAAAGCCCATTATACCCCGTTCCGAATCGACACGGGAAACCACGTGACAAGAAATTGGACTCGCTCTCGCAGGTGGTGCTGGTGATGAGTCTGGCGTGCACGGCGTCCGGAGACGACGACGACGACGACCGGTCTGACTCAAACAAGAGGGCATGGAGCAGCAGCGGGACCGGCCGACCCTACCGCCAGAAGTGGGGGTCGGGTCCGACGGCTTTCATCGGTCACATCCAGCGTCCTCGCCAGCGCGTCTTCGCTTACAGGCAGTCGTTCGGAGACGATGACGGGCACGACCGTCGTCGTTCGGTCTATCATTTCCAGTCTCCATGGTATCATTATTGGTGATCCCCCACGAGAAGAATACAGTCGTTTCCCTTCTTCTTTTCCGTTTTCTTTCTTTCTTGGAACGTGGAAACAAGAGAGGTTGAGGAACACAGACTTCGTTTTCGTGAATCGGCAGCGGTGCACGTGCTGATACGGAAGATGGTGCAATTTTTGGCCGAGACCGCAAAGTCGTTCGTTCATCCTTCGTGCTTGACGAAGTGGACTGCATCGAAGATCATGACGACCGAGTACGTCAAGATTGTTTCCAGCAACTGAAAGAAAAAAAATTACTTTTGAATATACGAAAGGATAGGACTGGGGATTATTCCTGAATCTTTTTTTTTAAACTGAATTTGAACATTGAAACTCGACCTCGTCGGTTCATTTCTGAATCCGATTCTCGTCACAAAGCTCGAAAGTTGTGGGTTCGTGGTAGCATTTTTTGGCCGTGGCCTCGGGGGATCGCGATGGAGGGGAGTGCGGGGAAACGGCAGGAAGAGGGAGGCATCCCGTCCCGGCCCGACGCACACTTCCGGCATCGGAGAATGCAACATTTGTGGAAAATTTTGTCTCTGGTACGAATTTCGCGAAAAAAAACTCAATCCCAGCCTGAATATTGCCCGTCAATTTTTACAGTGATCGAAACGTCATGTAGGAATAAACACACAAGCAGGAGGGAACTACAATCGATGAACTACAATGTGATGCCATTGCACGGTCCCGATTTCCGGTGCAATACAGCGAATGGTTTCGGTTATTGGAATACTCCGGATCGAGGACGAATAAAGTTCGCTGGTTCCGTGAGTGTTCCAATATGCGGAGTCGACTGTATGAGAGGTCCCTTCCTAATTCGATAGGGAAACCCCTATCCTCCCTCAATAAAATGTGAAAAAGAAAATAGACGAACCATTGTGAAGGATTCTTTCCCCATTCCGGCGAATCCGAATGCGGTGAAGCGAATCATCCTGGCTTTGTAGAACATTGCCAAATAACATTCCTGATGTGGAGTAATAAAAGGTTCATGTTGTAAAGTTTTCCCTCCTAAAATTACTTGTTTCATCGCTTACGGGTTTTTCCCATTCGTGAATTAGACTGGCGCGAGAGACGACAGGATCGTCAATGGACTCGATGGTTTCTCTTTTCTTCGAGAAGATGGCGGTGTTCGACATGGCCCTCCAAAACAGCTCGTCCTGAGAGGGTCAGCAAATTCGGATTTTCAGAAAGCTTTAGAGAAACAGGAGGGGCAACCACCCCAAATACCTGGGCGTACACCCTAGAAGCCGAGAAGTGAAAGATGACGATGGGAGGGAACCCAAGAAGGGCGATGGCAGCGCGGCAGACCACGCCGACACCGGCCAAGGCAGCAGACGACATCGACCACGTCGCCAGCTGCGCCGTCTCCGCCAGCAGGTACACGTACAGGATGGCGAGGCCTCCATCCATCAAGAGATGGAGAGCGCACATGGGCCCGTAGATCCGGTTCAGATCCCTAGCGAGACGCTCCACCCCTTTCCTCGAGTCCAGCCAATCCATGGGTCTCAGCGCTCCTTGCTCAACCTGTCAAACACAAATGGACTGGGCTCACGATCATGGTAAAGTGGTTAGGTCCTGACGGAACTTTAGGGGTCCACATGAGAATCCACAGAACCAACTCGGGGCCCAGTCACGTTCAACGGTCAGGAACCGCTTCGGCGTAACGGAAAGAGGGGGAAAAGAGGGGCATAAGATGCTGGTAGGGCTCGCCCTTCACAATGAGCATAACCATGCCCCCCCCCCCCCCCCCCCCCCCCCCCCCCTGAACTTTAATTCGGAGTTTGGAGCTACGGGGGAGGTGGGGAAGGCTGGAGCTGCACTTGAAAGGGAGAATCTTTATGATAATTTCGCTATTTAAAGAAACGTTGTTTTTCATATTGGGAGGGACATTCAATGAGTTTTGGAGATACCCTCGTACATTTTTATTTTTATATCTAAATGAAACTAATAAATCTGCACATTCCTTTAAGATTCTCTTCACATTCCCTCAAGATCACACCTTCGCATCCTAATCAGCAAGAATCCACTTGTACTCATACTCAGGTAGGGTAAACACCCCAGCTTTTGGCCACTTAAGCCACAGTTTTTGGCCACGCTGATATGACTCCCACAGGAAGTGGACACCCTGTGCGCACACCGGGAAACACTAGTAAATAGGTCCTCGTACGGGAAGATGTTGATAGAATGCTTGAAAAGGGCCAGATTAACTAATTATGCTGGATTTAAGCCTCACTGGCCAACAACTGGAGACCGGCCAGAAACCGGGGTGCTTACCCTATAATTCACAGCTGTGAATGTAACAGCACATTCATTAACATAAACTGAAAATTCCAAATATATTAAATGGGGGGAAATGTCACCATTTGCAAACGTAATGCAACGCAGAGGTCCGGACAACGGACTGCATTCTCAATTAAAACATTGTGAAAAAATCGCATAACAAGTTTGTCATGCATTAACTTTCTTATCTCAGATTCACCTGCTCTTACCAGCAAGCGCTGATCCAGAGCAACAGAGAAAAGAAATCCAATGCCTTATCCACCTTTACAAACGTTGCCGTTTTTCCCCCTCACCTGCACGGTCATGCGACGTTGAAACAGGGCGATCTCGCAGCACATCCACGAGTAGAGGAGGGGATGAGTCACGATCTGCGCGGCCGCGACGATCGAGCCCGACCCCACGACGAGCAAAAAGAGAGGATCTTTAATATCATTTGAATCCCACAACACGGGTCTCCCAAAGACCAGCATTCCCGCAGCGACGGCGTAAAAGACGCCGCTCGACACCAGCATCCCCTGGGACCAGGACCACAGAGGCCGATCTCTCCCCCTGTTGAGCGCGAGCCCCCTACGGAAGAGGCCGTGCAGGGCCCTCCCGTTCCACCAAGAGTAGAGCACGGATGACAGAGTGAGGATCACCGTCATCACGCCCCGCATGACCCTCGCCGTTTTTCCCACGTCCAGTCTCGAATCTGACGAAACGAACGATCATTCATTCCCTTCAGGATCCAGAGCAACATCCATGGCAGCTCATGCCTACAACGATTATTCGCTTCTCCATTAGGGCAGCGGTGTCAAAAGTACGGCCTGCGGATCGGATACATCACATTTTTCGCATTCGAATACAGAAAATACATATGGGATTGCACCCTAATGATTCTATTTTAATTGCATTTCTTATTTCTAATAATATAAATATGCACCCAAGTAAGTTTTTAAACGTCCAAATTTTGGGTAACTGGCAGATCGCGTTTAATCACAGCTTTACCTTTAGTGCTGAAACCCGTTCACAGCTGGTTGTGAATTATGCTGACGGTACTTTGAACTGACCATGCCCACAATTTCCCCCGCAAAAAAGCCGCATTATCACAAGGAAGTTGCAAATCGGAAGAAGTTGAGCTTGTTCCCGTGCGAACGTTGCAAACCAGCGGAATGAAATTCTATAAGCATGAAGAATAACAGGTTTTCGATGATATAGCGAGAAATGAGTCCACAATTCTCTGACCGATAGGAGAGAAAAGGTGCGGGGTACCCGGTGTATAATTATATATATTAGAAGATATCAAGCATACTTGACTGTCGAAGTCTTGCCTGACTGAATTGGCTTAATACCAAATACACAGGAGGAATACTTTTTTAAAGACGACCTCAAAACGTCCAGGAGAAAAAAAAATTTAATGTTTACCGTACTGCTCTANAGATGACGATGGGAGGGAACCCAAGAAGGGCGATGGCAGCGCGGCAGACCACGCCGACACCGGCCAAGGCAGCAGACGACATCGACCACGTCGCCAGCTGCGCCGTCTCCGCCAGCAGGTACACGTACAGGATGGCGAGGCCTCCATCCATCAAGAGATGGAGAGCGCACATGGGCCCGTAGATCCGGTTCAGATCCCTTGCGAGACGCTCCACGCTTTTCCTCGAGTCCAGCCAATCCATGGGTCTCAGCGCTCCTTGCTCAACCTGTCAAACACAAATGGACTGCGCTCAAGATCATGGTAAAGTGGTTAAGTCCTGACGGAACTTTAGGGGTCCACATGAGAATCCACCTAACCAACTCGGGGCCCAGTCACGTTCAACGGTCAGGAACTGCTTCGGTGTAACGGAAAGAGGGGGAAAAGAGGGGCATAAGATGCTGGTAGGGGTCGTCCTTCACAATGAGCATAACCATGTCCCCCCCACCCCTCCCCACCTGAACTTTAAGTCGGAGTTGGGAGCTACGGGGGAGGTGGGGAAGGCTGGAGCTACACTTGAAAGGGAGAATCTTTGTGATAACTTCGCTATTAAAAAAAACGTTGTTTTTCATATTGGGAGGGACATTCAATGAGTTTTGGAGATACCCTCGTACATTTTATTTTTATATTTATATATAATACTCATAAATCTGCACATTCCTTTAAGATCCTCTTCACATTCCCTCAAGATCACACCTTCGCATCCTAATCTGCAAGAATCCACTTGTACTCGCACTCAGGTAGGGTAAACACCCCAGTTTTTGGCCACGCTGATATGACTCTCATAGGAAGTGGACACCCTGTGCGCACACCGGGAAACACTAGTAAATAGGTCCTCGTACGGGAAGATGTTCATAGTATGCTTGAAAACGGCCAGATTAACTAATTATGCTGGATTTAAGCATCACTGGCCAACAACTGGAGACCGGCCAGAAACCGGGGTGCTTACCCTATAATTCACAGCTGTGACTGTAACAGCACATGCATTAACATAAACTGAAATTTCCAAATATATTAAATGGGGGGAAATTTCACCATTTGCAAACGTAATGCAACGTTCTCCAGGCCTGTTGCCTGACGTAAGAGTTAATTTTGTAACACTTTTTTAGCGTATTGTTCAAACAGTACGTAATTGAAAGAATAGAGTCTAAGTGGACGAGAATGGTCGTTCGCGACTAGGTCTCGAACAGAGAAAAGAAATCCAATGCCTTATCCACCTTTACAAACGTTGCCGTTTTTCCCCCTCACCTGCACGGTCATGCGACGTTGAAACAGGGCGATCTCGCAGCACATCCACGAGTAGAGGAGGGGATGAGTCACGATCTGCGCGGCCGCGACGATCGAGCCCGACCCCACGACGAGCAAAAAGAGAGGATCTTTAATATCATTTGAATCCCACAACACGGGTCTCCCAAAGACCAGCATTCCCGCAGCGACGGCGATTTTCTGCGGCGAGCTGTGGTCGTAGGGGACCCTGGTCCTGGTGTCTCCGGCTAGAGAGGGGGACAACTCGCGCTCGGGGGATGCCTTCTCCGGCACGTCCCGGGAGGGCAAGGTGGTTCTCATCTGCACGGATGACAGAGTGAGGATCACCGTCATCACGCCCCGCATGACCCTCGCCGTTTTTCCCACGTCCAGTCTCGAACCTGACGAAACGAACGATCATTCATTCCCTTCAGGATCCAGAGCAACATCCATGGCAGCTCATGCCTACAACGATTATTCGCTTCTCCATTAGGGCAGCGGTGTCTAAAGTACGGCCTGCGGATCGGATACATCACATTTTTCGCATTCGAATACAGAAAATACATATGGGATTGCACCCTAAGGATTCTATTTTAATTGCATTTCTTATTTCTAATAATATAAATATGCTTTTTTTTTCATTACCAACTCACAATTTTTATTTGCAATGTGGTATCCAACTATACCTAAGCTTTGGACATCCCTGTCTAGAGGGAACCAGATGGATTAGAGATGTATGAAGTTAAAAATCCTTGATAATTATTAGACCAGTTTCAGAAACGGACGCGGGAAACCTCTCTTAGTGCGCACACGCCCGTTCCAACAGACGCTCGACGTGCGGTTATCTATTGATAACTGAACGTCCTGATTGCATGATTGATGCAGCATTGTCTGGATTGTCTCTAGTCATATTCTACCTTCTTTATTTATATATTATATAGTATATACTACTATAGTATACTACAGCCCAGAAAAAAAATTGCCAAATTTCACTAGCAAGGCAACATTTCTTCTCACCAAGCCCTCAATACAACCAAAAGCGCAGTCTGCAGCTCGTCTCACCCAAGTAAGTTTTTTAAACGTCCAAATTTTGGGTAACTGGCAGATCGCGTTTAATCACGGCTTTACCTTTAGTGCTGAAACCCGTTCACAGCTGGTTGTGAATTATGCTGACGGTACTATGAACTGACCATGCCCACAATTTCCCCCGCAAAAAAGCCGCATTATCACAAGGAAGTTGCAAATCGGAAGAAGTTGAGCTTGTTCCCGTGCGAACGTTGCAAAGCAGCGGAATGAAATTCTATAAGCATGAAGAATAACAGGTTTTTGATGATATAGCGAGAAATGAGTCCACAATTCTCTGACCGATAGGAGAGAAAAGGTGCGGGGTACCCGGTGTATAATTATATATATTAGAAGATATCAAGCATACTTGACTGTCGAAGTCTTGCCTGACTGAATTGGCTTAATACCAAATACACAGGAGGAATACTTTTTTAAAGACGACCTCAAAACGTCCAGGAGAAAAAAAAATTTAATGTTTACCGTACTGCTCTATTGTGTTGTTCAAATGTCGATCTGTCTGAGAGCCAATGTTTTTCGTACCCAGTCCGAATTTATTCTTCCTGTAAGAGGCAAGAAATCTTGGCTTAAGAAAGTGTAATACAGTACTATTGGGTTGACCGGAAAGTTCTTGCAGTTTTCGCCTTTTCTCATTAGGAAGCCTCATGAATTTTCTAGAAATTTCCAGCTTCGCCTATAGTCTCCCTTCTTGCCTGCAGGTTCAGTGTATTTTCGATCCCTTACCGCCAAGTATGAGCCAGAAGTTCGACCTTGACCGTGACCACCTCCGCACCTGCCTCCTGAGTTCTGTCTGGGAGAGAAGGCAGCCAACGCCCATCGCCGTCTGTGCCAGGCGTTTGGGGAAGGAGTCATCAGCAAGAAGACATGCTTCAATCGGTTCGCTCGCTTCCAATCCGGAAACTGTCGTGTCGAAGACAAGCCGAGGTCGGGACGCCCGTCGGAGTTGGACGATGAGGCGCTATTCGTGGAAGCCGATCCCCGCATGACCACTCGCGACATGGCTGTCGTTCTCGGGTGCTCCCGCTCCACCATCGAACACCGCCTGTCCACGATCGGGAAGGTCTCGAAGCTCGGGAGATGGATACCCCATGCTTCGACACGGAAGGTCCTCGACCGGCGTTCCAACATCTGTGCACTTCTCTCCCGTCCACGGCGCTTCGACTGGCTCGACGACGTCGTCACGGGGGATGAGAAGTGGGTGATGTACGCGAACCATACCCGCGAGCGTCAGTGGGTAGACGCCGATGAAGAGTCGCAGCCGGAGCCGAAAGGTGACCTGCATCCCCGCAAGGTGATGCTCTCCGTATGGTGGGACGTGAAAGGTGTCGTGATGTTCGAGCTGCTTCCTCCCGCCACTCAGTCATCGTCGTGTCACTCTAATTGAAAGGGAATGCGACCTTGTTGCGACATGAAGGGACTCCACATCCCCCTCCCAGTTCAGTCGAGCATAGGATGGCGAGGAGGATACCTACTACTGCGACCGACTGAGAGATCGAGCCAGAAACTCTCAACGGCTCGGCCGGGACGTGACAAAGTGCTGTTCCTCCACGACAATGCCCGGCCGCATACCGCAAAGATGACCCGGCTCAAACTCCTCGCCCACGGATGGGAGATTTTGCCGCACCCACCGTACTCCCCGGACCTTGCTCCGTCGGACTACTACCTTTTCCGTGCCCGCAGAACCGCCTCAAAGAGAAAAAGTTCGACGACCAGAAAGACCTCGAATGCTACTTGCGACAGTTCTTTGAGTCTGTCCCCATCGTTCTACCACGACGGAATCCATTCCCTGGCTGGAAGGAGGAGATATGTAGTGGAACACAATGGAGCTTACATTGTTGACTGATATTGTATAGTTGCTGAATAAAATTGTTTTCT